GAGAAGCTTCCCAATCAGTGCAAAAATTTGGTTCATAAATTAACTAGCTAATCCAATTAATTAATTTGGGCTTATTAACAAGCAACTCAATTAATTAATTGTCCAATACTTGTCAATTATTTAATTGGTAAATTCCATTTTTCTAGTTCTCATTTTATGTGTGATCCATCAAGTCTCCAACAATGATGCTTAGCGATATGAATTATAATTTTGATCTAATTAAAATTACCAATTCATATCATTTGTTCCAGATTGACCTCTAATAATGTGTCAGAGCAATACATTTGACGAAAAAAGTCGTGTGCTATGATAAAACTAAACTTATTCATTTACTATGGAACTGCAATCACTTCATTAATATGACTCGACAATTATGAGATATGAAAACGTGTCAATCTCGATCATCGATCATAGTAACGGATCCAGGATTGGATACCAGTTAGGACGGTCTTTGATCATTGATCGTCGACTGTCAACAACCATAATAATTAGGTCTTTTATTAATATTTAATTAAATAATATTAAAAATTCATTAACCTATATATAAATGCACTAAAACCACATGTTAAACTATCACCAAGTTTAAATTTCCAACAACAATTTATTATTTATCTCACAAATTCTCCAATTGAACATTTAAATGATAATAACTCAACTATATATTAGTAAAGGTTGTCACTTCTGTCAAATTTTTACATTTGATTAGCATATTAAACTACATTTTTTAATATGTGTGTGTGAGAGAGAGAGAGAGAGAGAGAGAACAATTACAAAAATAATAGAAAAATTCAAAATACACAAACGTGAATCTAAAAACCTAATCACATACCAACTAATCTGTACGTTTCAAACCTAGGACCGATTGCAATTAATCTATTTTTTCATTAAATAAATCAAATTAGAACTAAAATAATCTCTCAATAACTAATGTTACGCCCCTATCTGAACCACTTTGGAAAGACTATTACTACATCATACGAGGTGTCCAACACCCATTCGAAGTAACTCCACCACTAATGTTGGCGAGCTGCTAACGCTCTGCGAGGCACAAACAATTCTACTGAACCAACCGAAGCGTTCTTGCCTCTGACGCCGAAGCGCAATGCACTGCGAGGATCGCCGCCAATTTCAGAAAGAGATCTATGTCAAGATCCTTTCCGTCCCAAGGTTTAAATTGATTTGACATCTGCATGGGCCTAGTTGATGTGACATATCAACTTTATGTCAACTCAACTCGGGAGAATTTATTACCAGCCCACTCTATAGACGCGGCTGATTGACGCCCATGAGCAAACACCTCACATTGTCAGATGTATACATGGGGACACATCTGACGGTTCTCCTCAACTATAAATATCCAATGTTTGATAAGAGGTAAAGGTAAAGAAAGTCTTACAACTTAACTCTCCATAACAAGTAAATATACATTCTCCTCCCCACTCTTTTTGCACAACCTTGGTACTGTTCCAATCATCAAAAGCTAACTTGACCGTTGAAGTGTATGCGACCGTCGCCAACCCCGGTCGTGTGGAGGGTCCAATTAGCGAGATCAACAGATTGGCGCCGTCTGTAGGTACTACTTCCCATCCAAAGTCCAGCATTCTCCACAGGAAAAGCAACTGGAAAACCCTAGACTTACGCTGAAAGGCGGACGTTCTTGAGAAAGAACAAAGTCGAATTGCAACTCGTATCCTCATCACCCTTAAAAAAGTAGTAGATAAGATGAGTTCCAGCAATGAAGATGTAAACCCCAAAATGGACGCCTCTGAAGAAGAGGTGCTCCGAAACAATGTCACTCACCAGAGACTCCATCATCGACGTCTCCGAGGTGAAAGAACGACCATGCTCACTGAAGGAATGGCCCAAATAGCTGCAAGCATGAGAGAGATCGTAGCTCAGAATATGGCAATGCATGAATTCATATGAGCCCAAGGTCACCAGGGCGCCCAAATACCCCAAGAATCTTACCCAGCTCGTGAAGCCCCTGCGTCTCGTTCCCAAGGCCATATGAGCCAGCACAGAGAATTCCCCTCGAGAGAGGAGTGGGTACGGAAGTCACATCCTATGTGCAAGGGAGCCTACCAGTAGAACCGCAATTGGGGGACAACTTCCCACCAAAATATGAAGCACAAAGGTCAGTCAGTGTCTTCGATTGGATAGGGCGGGACTCTAGTAATAGGGTCCGCTTAGTGGAAAGATTAGTTTGACAAGGAAAAGAGCAAGAACAAGTGCCCCCTTCGCCTAGAAATAGGAAGGAGAGAAGAAACTTAGTTGATTGGGGTAGCCGAGGAAGAGCACCTCCACTCCCCTGAACATGCAAGATGACGGGGACTTCGAAGGGCTATGTCGATCTTACGAGATTGATGATGATGATGATAATCTCCCTTTCTCAAGGGAGATCCAAGGCTCCCCAATGCCTGCGAACTTTGTACCCCCTAAAATTCCCAAGTATGAAGGAAAAGGGGACCCAGAGAAGCACCTCACGAAGTACATTACACAGATGAGTCTCAGGGGAGCCTCGCCTGCTTTGAAATGCAGAGCCTTCCACCTAACCCTGGTCAGAGCCGCTAAAGTGTGGTACAATAGGCTGCCTCTTTTGAGCATTAGGAGTTGGCCAGAGCTTAAAAAGACCTTCCTGAACTAATACCTCTCATGTAGAGAAGGGGAGGCCATAGTGCAACGCCTACAAGATATGAGACAAGCCCCTAGAGAAACGCTGAAAAACTACCTCGCCAGGTTTACGGACGAGATCATCTACTGTGAACAGGTTACTGACAGAGAAGCCCTTTCAGCATTGAAAGGCGGCCTCAACATGAACACTTTGTTCTAGAAGGATGTACGCAGCAAGAATCATACCACTTATGATGAACTAGTGGAAATGATGAAAGTCGAGATCGTCAGTGAAGAGATGATTGATCACCAAGATTGTGCCACACGGGGACTCTCTCCACCTCAGAGACAGGTAGGTCGAGGACCCGCAGCGCACCTTATCACTCAGCAATGGACCCAGGCAGGGCATACAATAGCTCCCACGTCCGAACAAGCACTAGCTTCTGCCACGTTAAATGCAGTGCCAGTGTTGGCATACGAGAATGCCCCTCCTGAGGCGAGACCATCTAGGGGTACTGATAGTAGTCAAAAGAAGAAGAAAAAGTGGTCAGGCAGGCCCTTAGAAGGGGCAAGGTTCTGCACCTTCCACCAACTCTATGGACATGACATCAGCAAATGCAAAGACGCTCCACGGCGCTCAGATCGAAATAGCCCACATCCCTCTAAGGGGGACGAATGTCCCCGCAAATTCGCCTCCCCGAATAGGGCTGAAAAGAGGCATAGAGATCAATCACCCCGAAGAAGAGGAGAGTTCGGACAGAAAGATCAGGCCCCATTTTCTGGAGGCCAAATCATTAGGGAAATTGACACGATCATCGGGGGACCTCACATCGGGGGCAACACTAGGAATGTCTAGAGGAACTACACGAGGGAAGCAAAGGATCCACTGATGCTCACGTATATCGTCAACTAGTCCCAAGAAGTCAACAGGATGGTCCTGATTACCTTCTCTCAAGAAGATACACAAGGAGTTCACCACCCCCATTGTGACGCATTGGTAGTAAGAGCTGTAGTAGTAAGGAACAGACTCAAATGCATGTTTGTCGATAATGGCAGCTCGGTGAACATACTGTTTGGCTCTACCTTCGAGAAAATGCGAATCGAACACGAACGAATCCCCATGACCGACCCACTATTTGGATTTACTGAAGACAACATCATCCCACGAGGACGAATTACTCTACTCGTCGAGATGGATTCAACTCCCATAGTGGCCCAACATTTCATGGAGTTTTGATAGTAGACCACAAGTCAGCCTACCACGGAGTATTAGGCAGACCTGCCTTGAAAGATCTTTGGGATGTCACCTCCGTACATTACTTGTGTATGAAGTTCCCAACTGAGCATGGAATTGCTACGGTTTGAGGCGACCAGATGGAATTGCTACGGTTTCATGGAGTTTTTGATAGTAGACCACAAGTCAGCCTACCATGGAGTATTAGGTAGACCTGCCTTGAAAGATCTTTGGGATGTCACCTCCGTACATTACTTGTGTATGAAGTTCCCAACTGAGTATGGAATTGTTACGGTTTGAGACCAGATGGGCTCCAGAGCATGTTATCTAAACTCTCTGTGAAAATCAGAGTCCTGCACTATTAATGTAATCATAACGGAGGTTATGAACGAATCTAACCTGGATGTGGAAATGCTCGATGCCCCTAAAATAGGGCATACCTCCGAACAGGAGGAAGACGTCGACATGGAAGAGGCTCCTGAAGAAGGGCACCCTTTTGATGAATTAGACCCCCGAGCAACTGGATCAGAACTGAACGCGACCCCAATAGAAGAACTTGAAACTTTCTCCGTCAACCCAAAAGACCCCAGTCAGGTCCTGCGGATAGGAAAGACGTTGTCTCCCGAAGTGAAAGAACAAATGATAAGCTTCCTAAAAAGAAACATGGATGTCTTCGCTTGGAAGCACGAGGACATGGTAGGAATAGACCCGAGGATCAATTGCCATTGCCTAAACATCAATACCTCTTGTGCCCTACATCGGCAGAAAAGATGAGCCCTCAACCCGGAGAGGTACGAGGCGCTCAAAGACGAAGTGAATAGGCTTAGCAGTAGTGGCTTCATCAGAGAAGCCATTTATCTGAAGTGGATATCCAACCCGGTCTTTGTGAGGAAGCCTAGCGGGAAATGGAGAGTGTGCGTAGACTTTTCACGAACTTAAACAATGCATGCCCTAAGGATAGCTTCCCACTATCGAGGATAGACCAACTTGTGGATTCCACTGTCGGACATAAACTCTTGAGTTTCATGGATGCGTACTCAGGATACAACCAGATACCCATGTTTCGACCTGATGAGGAGGCCACGTCGTTCATCATAGACAGAGAACTGTACTGCTACAAAATCATACCCTTCGGATTGAAAAATGTCGGAGCTACATGTCAGAGCTGGTCAACATTATGTTTGCCGAACTTATTGGCAAAATCATGGAGGTCTACATGGACGATATGCTAGTCAAAAGCCTCCAAGTGAATGAACACGTAAGTTACCTCGACCAGACCTTTCAGATTCTTAAGAAATACAAAATGAAATTAAACCCACTCAAATGCACTTTCGGCGTGGCTTCGAGTCAGTTTTTGGGGTACATTGTGAACCGAAGGGAGATCGAAGCAAATCCGGTAAAGATTAGGGCCTTACTGGAAATGAGGTCGCCTCAGAAGCCGAAGGAGGTCCAGAGCCTCAATGGTTGGATAGTTGCGCTCAGTCGCTTTATCTCCAGAGCCACTGATAAGAGCCTACCCTTCTTCAAAGTGTTGAAATAAGGGAAGAAGATCCAATGGACCAATGAGTGTGAGGAAGCCTTCCAAGCGCTGAAGAACACTTAGGAGAGGCGCCTCTGTTATGCAAACCTAAACCACAGGAATCACTCTTGCTATACTTGGCGGTCTCGGACGAGGTAGTCAGTGCAGTCATAGTTAGAGAAGAAGACGAGTATCAATTGCCGGTGTACAATGTCAGCAAAGCACTACTCCCGGCAGAAACCCGCTACCCGGGCATGGAAAAATTGGCACTCGTCCTCATCACGGCATCAAGAAAATTGAGGCGATACTTCCAGGCCCACTCAATCGAAGTTCTCACCAACTTCCCATTGAAGCAGGTACTACAAAAAATGAAAGCTTCGGACCGCCTACTAAAATGAACAATTGAGCTCAGTGAGTTCGACCTACTGTTTCGACCCAGACATGCCATCAAGGGACAAGCCCTTGTAGATTTTGTGGCTAAATTTCCCATAGTGCTAGAAATGGAGGCAGCAATGGAACCAGTCAGCCCCCAACATGGAACTTGTTTGTGGATGGATCCTCACGAGAAACTGGCTCCGAAGCTGGGATCGTCTTGGAAAGCCCGAAAGGCCAGAAGCTAAATTGCGCAGTAAGGTTTGGCTTTAAAGCCTCTAACAATGCTGTCGAATATGAGGTCCTTCTAGCAGGCCTTAGACTCGCAAAAGAAATGTAGGTTAGAAAGCTCCTGGCAAGCAACGACTCTTAACTTGTGGTTAGTCAGGTGAACGGGAACTTTGTCGTCAAAGACAGTAGCATGGCTGTATATTTAAAACTGGTCCTGGACCTAATCCCATATTTCGAGAGGTTCAGATTGATCCAAGTCCCACGTCTCGAGAACACTCATGGAGACGCCCTATCAAAATTAACTAGGAGTAAAGACTCAGAGCTGCTAAAGATTGTCCCCATTGAACGCGTGTCAAAGCCCTCCATCTCCAAAGGTGAAGAGTTGTTATGGATAGAAAGTACCCCATTATGGATGCAACCTATCATGGTTTATTTGAAGGATCAATCACTACCAGTTTCAAGAAACGAGGCAAGGAAGTTAAGAAGGAGAGTCGCGCACTTCGTTCTGTAAGAGGATGTCCTCTACAAAAGAGGCTTTGCCTCACCACTTCTCCGACGTGTAGAGGGGAAGAAGCCACGTATATACTCAGGGAGATCCACGAAGGGATCTGCGAAAATCACTCCGGGGGAATGGCTTTGGGACATAAAGTGCTTCGACAAGGCTACTTCTGGCCAACCCTGAAAAGGAATGTTTGCCAATTTGTTTAAAAATGTGACAAGTGCCAGTGCTTCTCAAATATTCAAAGACAGCCTTCTCAGTGCCTCTCCGTAGTCACCAGTCCATGGCCATTCGCCAAATGGGGCATCGACTTCATTGGTCCGCTCCCAAAAGGAAGAGGAAGTGTGAATTTTGCCATTGCCACCTTTGACCACTTCACGAAGTGGGTTGAGGCTGAACCTCTTGCCAAGATCACCGAGGCAAAACTACAAAATTCGTTTGGAAGAACATCATTTGCAGGTTCGGTATTCCCCATTCCTTAGTGTCCGACAACGGGAGACAGTTTGACAACAAGAAGATGCGAGACTTATGCAACGAACTGGGGATAAAAAAAGATTTTTCGACGCCTCATCACCCCCAAGAAAATGAGCAAGTTTAGGCAGTGAACAAAACAATCAAGCATACCCTGAAAAGGAAGCTTGATGCCTCAAAGGGGGCATGGGTCGATGAGATTCCCCATATCCTCTGGGCCATCCATACAACTAGCCAAACCACAATAGGGGAGACACCCTTCTCGATGACCTACGGAGCCGAAGCCATGAGCCCTATCGAGGTAGGGGTCCCATCGCATCGTCGGATACATTTCAATGAGATCGATAACGACGACGCTTGAATGAGCGAACTCCACCTCCTTGAAGAAAGGAGGGATACCTCCCAAGTGAAACTAGCCAAGTATCAAATGAAGATGACAAGCTATTACAACTCCAAAGTAAAAAATCGAACTCTTCGGTTAGGGGACCTCGTCCTTAGAAGGGTCTTCCAATCGTCAAAGCCAACTGGGGTCGGAGTGCTTGGATCAAATTGGGAGGGTCCTTATCATATCTGTGAGGAGTCCCGACTTGATACTTTTGAAATTGAAGATATGACAGGGAGAGTACTACATCATCAATGGAACATCAAACACTTGAGAAAGTACTATCAATGATGAACGTATGCTCCGATCCGATCTCGATGCTGTCTAATATGCAGTTTGTCACGATCCGATCTCATTTGTAAATTCTCTATCTTACTAAGTGCTGAAATTGCTTAAGTGATGGATGATGTAACCTCTTAAGTAATGATACTTCAATTCTTTATGTCTAATCAGTTAATGAGTTGTTGCCTCGATTATTTAATATGTTATTGCTCTGATCTCCTTTAATCAACTGGTTATCTGGTAAATGGTGCTTATTGTTTGTTTAAGTGCTTTTTATTCATATATTCAAGTATAAACAGCTCAGCACAATGAAAAGGCAGAAGCAACAATACTTAGATAAAAAATTTTCATTTCATTCATTTAAATTGAATTACAAAAGAGGCCGAAGCCATTACAGGAATGACCCTATTCTACTGGGGCATCATCTACGCCAGCCTCCGCCTCGCCCCTCTCTGGGACCTCTTGAGCCTCCTCGGCAAACCTATCAGGCTGGCCTCCAGTAGGTCCACCGAACTCTGTCTCTAAAGAGGATATGTCCAGAGTAGGGTGGACCTCTTTTAGTTGACCTAACAGTCTTTGGGCACTCCAAGAGGCCCAATTTTTGGCAAAGTCGTCATAGATGGGGTGCTCCTCGAAATGGTTGATAAAGTTCTGCACCGCCACCTCCCCTGCCGACTTCATCTCCCCTTTCAGGGAGGGAATCTTCTCAGCCTGGGCTTCCGCCCTCTGCCTTATCTCAGTTTTTTCTTTATTGGAGGCCTCTAGAGCCTCCGTAGCGAGCCGGTGGTGCTCATTGGCATGATCCACCCTTCTAGTCATTGCAGCCACCTGGCACTCCATTTCATAGAGCTCCTTCTTTAGCCGCTCAATCTCCCCCTTTGCATCCGCCAGCTGTGCCTCGACCTCCTTTCTTGCTTTCTCCTCCGCCAAGGCCTTGGCCCAAGCCTCCCACACTATGTCCCCATAATATATCGCCTCCTCAAGATGCTTGGCGAGGCCCTTCCTCTTGGCATTGAGGTCTGTCACTAAGTCCTCAAGTTGGATGCTTGTGCTTAGGGCCTGGGCCACATAGGCACTGTTGGCAGCAATGAGGTCTTCAGTGGTGCAGGTGGCAGTCTGGTCTCTCTGTTCCTCTGTCCAATATTTGTTGTGGACCACCGCCACTGCTGCCATCTCTGGATGAAGAGCCTCCAACACCTCTTTCACCCGCTCCTCAAAATTTGTGCCCAAGAAGTCCTCCTCCTTCGAATGACGAGCTCTCTTCCTCTTCAGCTGCCCTGGCACTTGGGCAATTGGAATAGCAGCAACTAGAGCTGTAGCCAGGGACAGGAAAAGCCTCGAGGGTGTAGGCGTCTTCTCTGGGATGGCCATCCCAGTAGGTATGGTGGTCTGCTTCAGGACCGGGGGCAGCTTCGCCACTGTTGGGTGCTTCAAATGGCCAACAGACTTCTTGCCTTTCCACAGCAAGTTGGCCTCCGGATCCTCCACCACCTCCTCCTCTGTTGGAGGCTGGAGCCTCTTGCTGGTATTCACCAGATCCTCCATCTGCTTCTTGTATGTAGAGGAGGAGGTCTTAAGGCTCTCGCCTCGACCATCATCTTCTGGATGGTCTTGAAGTCAGGCTTCAGAGGCATCTTGCTTTTGAAGTTATCTGCAAAGAAAAAGGCAAATTATTACAAGTGTAAAGGGCCCGAAAATTACTGAAGAGTATTCACTTCGAGAATTTTACCGTGAGAAGCCATCAGATCCTGCGTCATGTAGTGAATGTTCTTCCTAATCAGCTAGTGATATGACCTCTTCTTCGGAGGCAGCTGACAGATAATGCAGATGATACCAAAGTCGTCGGTGGATATCTTACACCGAGGAAGAGTACCTTCAAAAGCAAACAAATATGAGTTAGGATATAAACTGAAGAAGAATAAACATAAATGCAAAGCAGCCAGTACTCACTAAGTGTAGAATACTTCGTGGGGACCGTAAGAGGTACCAGAGGGTCCCCCTCCATCGTGTTCCATCTCTCGACAGCCCAACACCACGAGCTCTTCCACTCCTTAATGAAGCTCGACAGATCGAGCACGAATGGAGTATGGGAACCCATGAGGTCAGGTAATACCAGCCCCTGGTCTTATCCCCCCCCAGCCGCTACCTTGGGGATGTAGAGGGTCTAGAAGATAGAAAAGAACATCTCTACCCCAAGCGACTTCTCCTTCCATAACACCTAGGAGCCCACCATTTGGCTCCAGGAGTTCGCGTTCAACTGGGTCGGAGCTAAACCATAAAACCAAAGGACTAGGCGGAAAAAAGGATGAATCGGGAGCCTAAGGCCAGCCCCAAGAATTGCTTCGCTAATTGCCATGCACCCTGGCCTAGGATAGCAGGCTCTCTCATCGGGTTCGGGAAGGATTAGATCTACACTGTCTGGAATCCTATATTCTGCCCTAAGTCTATCGAGGTCGGCACTTTTCAGCTTAGAAGGGTAATTCGGCTCCCCTCAATGCACAGATGTGTCTACTAGGCTATCAGGCCGCCTCCAGATATTCTCCCCCCAATTATCGCTTCGAAAATTTCGAAGGAGGTCGCTAAAATGGGCTCGTCCATTCGTACTAATTCCAACCCCCTCCCCGAGCTACCACTACCATCAGAAGCCATTTTTTCAAGAATGAAAGATGTCAAATACTTACTGAAACTCACAAAATGGGGGTTCCACAGCCGAAAATGGTTAAGAAACACTGTAGAGTTATCGAAAACTGGAGTTGTCGTCAGAAATGCTTGAAAAATGCCGAAAATGCTTGAAAACTGTCGAAAAATGCTTGAAGAGCGTCGGGAAATGTAAGGGATTTGAGAGCAAATAGAGTTTTTGATTTTGCAAAAGTGAAAAACTCCCCAAACGCTCAAGTCCACCTTTTATAGGGCGTCCTAACTGATCTCCATCGTTGAATTCAAATGCAATCGATTTGGGTCGTTGAAATGAAATGCCAGATTAGATCTATACCCAAGATCTAGTTGTGACCCTCACGCTCACGTGAAATGTGTCGCCTCGATCACAATCAACCATCTACAATAAGTAGCCGCAGTAGCTTTTTCTGGGAATGGGCATCGCAAACAACTGTCGCCTTGGAAATATGCGACAGCTATCAAATCCTTTAACGTCAGAAATGTTCACCTTAGATCGAGTAGATGAGCTCCACATAGCTTTACAAAGCTTAGACGCACCTGACGCAGAGTCCTCTATGGGTCATTGCCTCGGTAGCTGCACCCCCCTTAAGTTTTACAAAGCTTTAGCCATCTCCCAACTCGTCGTCCCCTGAAGGTCAACGCATCGGTAGCAAATGAGCTCCACACAACTTTACAACGCTTAGACGCATCTGATGCGGAGTCCCCTGTGGGTCATCGCCTTGGTAGCTGCATCCCTCCTTAAGCTTTACAATGCTTTAGCCATCTCCCAACTCGTCGTCCCCTGTGGGTCAACGCATCGACATTAGATGAGCTCCACACAGCTTTACAAAGCTTAAACACACCTGACGTGAAGTCCCCTGTGGGTCATCGTCTCGGTAGCTGCATCCCCCAACACGTCGTCCCTGTGGGTCAACGCATCGGTAGCAGATGAGCTCCACACAACTTTACAAAGTTTGGACGCACTTGATGCAGAGTCTCCTGTGGGTCATCGCCTCGGTAGCTGCATCCCCCTTTAAGCTTTTACAAAGCGTTAGCCATCTCCTAACGCGTCATCCCCTATGGGTCAACGCATCGGCAGCAGATGAGCTCTACACTGCTTTACAAACCTTAGACGCACTTGACGCTAATCCCCTGTGGGTCATCACCTCGGTAGCTGCATCCCTTCTTAAGCTTTACAAAGTTCTAGCCATTTCCCAACATATCGTCCCCTGTAGGTCAGCACACCAGTGACAGATGAACCCCTCACAGCTTTGCAAAACTTAGATGCACCTGCCGCGAATTTCGTGTGGGTCATCGCCTCGTTAGCTGCTTTCCCTCTTAGACTTTATCAAACTTTAGCCATCTTCCAACGCACCGTCCTGTAGGCCAGCACATCGATTTACGGATAAGCTCCTTCCT